GTCCTTCTGAAGAGGCTGTCCGTACGTGACTGGGACTGTGACGTTTTCTCTTCCTGCCATCCTCCCCTTCACTTGCGTCCCTCACTCAGTTAACTGACTTGCTCCAAAGCATTGCTAGAGACTTTCTCAGGAGAAGCCTGTCTTCACCTTACCTTTCCCTCTGTATATGTATCAACCCACTCAAGGCTCCGCAGCCCTGTGAAGTGGATCAGGACCATGTTATGGTGTTTCTTTTTCAAAGAACATTGAAGTAAAAGTTTTTGTCTGATTCAGTTTCTACAGCTAGAGCACTCTTTTTCCCTGTTCATGTCCAAACCTCAGTAAGGACTAAATACAGATTTAATTTGTTGGGTAAATGAATGAGCAAACAAACAGAAGAGTAGCTGACAGGCAGTTTTCACTGTGCCACATGTGATCCCAGAGCAGTGGGTCCTGGGCCTCGAGAAGGCACATGGTATTAAAGGGCAGTTCAGGGTTCAGAAGTGGGAGGCATGGCCTGTGAACTCTGGCAGCAGTGTGACACCAAGTGTAGGCCTCAGGAGGGGGCGGCACAGCATGGTCACTAAGTGGCTATCTATCTAGTCATCTGCCTTTAGCCATGATGGCTATGTGCTTATGAATGACCAGAAGAGCAGGGGAAACTGGACGTAGAAAGTACCTGTTCAGGAAAGAGAGAGAGACTTCTAAAAGCTTCATTAGACTGAAGTCTTAATCAAGTCAGGTTAAACAGGTCTGGTGTCCACCCTTTGTTTTTTTACCTTCTTGAGTAAAATCTGCCTCCTATTTTATTCTTTGGGATGTCATTTTTTAAAAGAGGTTAAATTTTACCAGTAGCCATTTGCTGTCCAAACCTGTGACTTATCATCAAATGTTGTACCAGCCAGGACAAACTGGTCTTTGTGATTATCTGTGCCACAGAAGTGGGAGGGCTTTTACCCATTCAGAATATTTTAATGTGAACAGATATTTTTTTCCACCAAAACTTTTGCTTTTCGCCAGTAGAAACAACAGATAATTATAAAATATAATACCTAACACTTCGTAGGCCCTGGGTATTTGGTAGGTTAAAAGAACTTTTAATATTTAATTGTCCTTGTTGACTGATTGCATTTAGTTTAAATAATTTTCATGCTACTTGGCCCTTTTACACCTAGTTGTAAGGAAATATATGACGTGAAATGAAAAGATATTTGTAGAATATTTACAAACCAGCCCAAACTGATTGGCTCTCTTATGTTGATTGTAAGTCCTTAGTGATGACAGCTTCTAGATACTAGTTGTGTTATGCTTTTAACTCACATTATTCCTTAAGACGGTTTTTGCTTGCTAGTTCCTCCTCTTTTCCTTTTGCCTTGACAGGCCCTTGATTCTTAGTGATTGAGGATTTCTCACTCAAACCAAGAGTCCCACAGAAAAAAGACCAGGACAAAGAGGCCAGAATCATTTTTATTTTCCAAAATGGACTTTGGTACTCTCAAAAATTCACTTAGCTCACAAAAGTTAATCACCAGTATGCACAGGGCAAAATTTTTGTCCTTAAAGAATTGGTGCAACACAGCTGTCCCTCAGTATCAATGAGCGATTATTTCTAGGACCTCCTGAGGACATCAAAATCTGAGGATACTCAAGTCCCTTAAGCAAAAAAAGTATATTTCAGCCAGGTATAGTGGCACACACCTGTAATCACAGAGACTCATGAGGCTGAGACAGGAGGATCACATGAAGTGCTAAGCAACTCAGTGAGACCCTGTCTCTAATAAAATACAAAATAGGGCTGGGGATGTGGCTCAGTGGTCGAGTGCCCCTGAGTTCAATCCCTGGTGCATATAATCTGTGCAATTCTCTGGTATAGTTTAAAGCATGTCTAGGTTACTTATAATACCTAATTTAATGTAAATGCTATGTACATGTTTGTTATTGTTGGAGACATACAGACAAGGGAAAAGTCTGTGCATGTTCATTACAGATGGAGGGTTTTTTTTTTTTTTTTCCAAATGTTTCTGATCCACAGTTGATTGAAGCCATGAGTGTGGATAAGGCGGGCTGATTGTATGTAAGAAAGTCAAGGATGTGGTCATGTCTGTCTCAACATGCTGCTGTAGATACATCCCTCCCCAGACAGGAACACTAAAGGAAGCACCATCCCTCTCTGCAACCTGTGTAAAATTAAGCTAATAAAAGGTATAAATGTTAGGTTGAAAATAAATTACCAGGAAAAGATATGAAATTTTTTATTTATTATTCTCCTACATATGCTGCATTTAACAAAATAAATCACTTCCCTGCCTTATTTTGACCTTCTCTTCAGAAAAATCATTCTTGTGAACTTGGACCCTGGGGTCCATGTGTGTGCTTACTCATTAAATCATTAACTTTCATGACTTAAGGCGTTGGCTAGGCTTGAGCTCAGGAACCGAGTCCTGACACATTTCTTAAGTTGTGTCCCAGTAGCAGCTGAGCCCTGCCTTACTGCATCATGCTGCTGTCCCTCCAGTGTGGGCACAGGCTTCACTTTAAATTTAGCTTTCCTTATTGAAGCATAAATAGAAAGATATTTAATTTACTCACCAAACTTTCTAACTGTGAACACCTACGCTTGACCTTTGTAACACTAGCAGTACTATGTTGCCGCTACAAGTTGGTCATTTAGAACTCCCTAAAGAAAGATAATCCAAGTTAGAAACGAATTTGATTTAACAGTTCTGCATGTGATTTTGTACATAGAAGGAGCATGAGAAAGATTCCTGGTGACAAAAGGTAAAACGCCATGTTGAGCCAGGCATGATGGCTCACGCCTATAATCCTAGCAGCTCGAGAGGCTGAGGAAGAAGGATCACGAATTCAAAGGCAGCCTCAGCAAAAGTGAGGTGCTAAGCAATTCAATGAGACCCTGTCTCTAAACAAAATACAAAATAGGGATGGGGTATGGTTCAGTGGTCAAGTGCCCCGGAGCCCAATCCCCGGTACCCGTGCCCCACCCCCCCGCCAAAAAAAAAAAAAAAACCCCACCAGGTTGTTAGTAACAGCTAAAGCTATTGAGTGTGTGCCATGTGCCAGGCCCTGCTGGAGAGGCTCTGTGTGTGTGTGTGTGTGTGTGTGTGTGTGTGTGAACCATCTGAGCCTCACATGAGCTCTGAGGGGGAATCCTGCTCTTAGCTCACGTTAGGGATGAGAAACCCAGTTGCAGAGGAATGAAGTGCCTTACTTAGGCCCCACGGAGGATGTGATGGAGCCTGAGAGCCTGAGCCCAACTCTTGGGCTCCTCTCTAGAAGCCAGGCCCTTGTCCATTGCAGCAGCTGCTTAGAACAGAAGTGTTGCCTGACTTTACAGACTTGGGAGTAGGTTCCACTATCACTTCCTGACTTCCATGTCTCTCACTCCCTTCCTACCCCCATGGCTGGCATTTTCACCAGCTCCCTGGCTTGTCCTCAGTCTTACTCCTGTTCATTATTCTCTTCATTGCCCTCCTGCTGCCCCCAGGATGCAGACTCCTGGGAATGTCCCACAGGCATGCTCCACAGATAGTGTGGGCTGCTCTCACACACACTATGTTCCCAGCCATACTGAGGTCAGCACCATCCCTCAGCAGTGCCTGCCACAACTCCTTTGTTGGGGGGACCTCTGTGGACTCTTCTGGTAACACCTGCTACCTGGTGGTGCTGCCTGGCCCTGAGCTAACCGTGTAGAGGATGCTTCATCAGGAGGCCTTCTGTCTTGGTCTGGGCTGCCATAACAGAATGCCACAGATTGAGTAATCTGTAAAGAACAGAGGTTTATGTCTCACAGTCCTGGAAGGCTGGGAAGCCTGAGGTCGAGGCGCTGTCATACAGCCAGTAGTCTGTTGAGGGCTGCATCCTCCAGGGGGGAGGAACTCTGTGTCTTTGAGGGTGAAAGGCAGAAGAGTGAGCTGGCCAAGTGTAGCTGATGGGCCTTAGTCCCATCCATGAGGGAGTGCCCTGGTCGCCTCACTCCTCTTACAGACCCCCACCTCTTAATACTATCACATTGGCCACCCCCAAATTTTAGAGGGGACACATTTAAGCCACAGCATCTTCTGTGCAGAGTGCTACTCTTTCATACTTCCCAGAGGATCCCATGTCTCCCAGTGTTCTCAGCCTGTGCCTCAGCCACCCAACCACACTCACACCTACTTGTTTTCCTTGCCCCCCTTCAAGTGATGGGCTCTACACAGGGCACAACGGTGGCTGCCATGTCCATTCCTGTCTTCCTCACACCCTTTACAGTGTGTGGTAAACAGGAAGTGCTTAATAAATGTTTGGTGAATGAGTGCAACTTGGTATCTCAATTACCAAGTGACGACAAGCCTCAGGAATGTGTGCAATGAGGCTGGTGTGGGCTCACAGTGACAGACAGGCAGCTGCTGCTCCCTGCCGAGGTGCACTCCACCTGGTGGACAGACGCTTTGCTGTGCTCAGGCTCAGGGCTCCTCACTCAGCCTCCTCTGCTCTAGGTGCCACCCGTCTCTGGGCATATCTGTCTGTGCTTTCTCTTGCAGTGCTGGAGCTGCACAGGGAGCAGACAAGCAGTTGTCTGGATAAAGGACCCTCCCTGTGTTTGAGGTCGCCCTGGGCTGGGGACAGTCCTTTACAGATGGCAAGAATGGGTGTTTATCAACCCAAGTGGTATGCAGAGCCACCAATCCAAGAGAGTACATGCCACCTTCACAAAGAGGTCATGTGACCCCTCCATAGAGGAATTCGTCCTGCTCACTCCAGCCCCCCAAGGTGGAAGCGTGCAGCCATTATTCCAAGAACATGTAGCATGAGTAAACAGTTCGTCTATCATGGAGGCTGATGGACTCCCTGAGGCTACATCTGTCTGAGAAGAGCTTGCAATGCACTCATAATAAATGACCCACTCACATTTTCACTTTACTTCCACCTTTCAGGAGCACGTTCTCTACAGAGAGCAAGATCAAGCTGCGTTTCAGTCAACCGTGGTTTCAACCTGTGCTGATTGTAATTTTTATCCATCATAGGTTTGAAGACATACCTGATATCGGGTCAGAGAGCCAAGGAGTCTCACTGCAGCTGTGCAGAGGCCTTGCTTTCTGGCTTTGAGGTCCTTGACGGCTCACGGGTGTCCTCAGGCCCTAGGGGACAGGGGACAGCATCGTCAGGGAGTGTCAGTGACTTGGCGCAGACTGTCAAAACCTTTGATAACCTTAAGGTTAGTTTTTTTTTTTTCCTTCTTCTAAATCTTTATATTAATTCTGCAGTAGAACACGTGAAATAATGAACGGCCTTTGGCAAAGGACTCAGAATGCCTTTCGATTTGATTTTCACGATTTTTAAACAGTATAAATAGTTAGCGGCATTTTGCATTTTTAATATCCTTGCTTTTTGACATTTTATGCACCTCCATTTCCTTTCTGCATTGCATAAAGATGTTTTTTCACCTGAGTTATTAGTTATTTTCTTTTTCTGCGACTATGTTGTCTTTGGGGATTTCTAAAAACTATTGATAAATGACAGTACAGGTAATTTCCTTGCATTTTGCTCAGAGAGCTGGTTTCTATTTTATTTCAGAGACTACTTTATCAGATATTCCTGTGACTCTTAAAATTCTGTGATTATCTTAAATTTTGTTGGTGTAGGTGAATCTTGCATGTGGCTCACTGAAGAGAGTACATGCTGCTGAGAACATTATGGTATTTCAATGTAAGAAGAGAGGCCTCCGGGTGGCAGTCTAGAAGTGCCTACTTCTGGACTGATGTTCTGTCATAATGAACTACCAGGAACTGATACACTTGACCTTGGGCCTATGAAGTCATTCTTATTTATGAGCTATTCCTCAGTTTTCACTTTGGATTTAGTTCCCCTGCTGGTACATTCTGTTTATCTTTATAGTTTAAATATTTGCTGTTTCCATTTTTTAAAAGAGAATGAGACAGTTATGACAGTTCTTCTTCACTATTTGGGCTCTCAGATAACAAAACGATGTTAGTTAGGATGATAGCCTGTTGTACCTGCTTTGAACCAGTATGTTTCTACTTATGCACATGATTAGCAGACTTGAAAGCTAGCTATTGGTCTTTGAGCTTAATGGTCTTCATAATATAGCCATCCACTGCAGTGTCTGGGTTATCCTACTATGTTGGAAGCTGTCGTCCTATCATCCAGTTACTTCTGGTAATTATTGTGTTCAGGACTATTGACAGTGCTTTTATATTTTTCTCCTTGTGTGCTTCATTAATTTAATGCACTTTCTTGGTCCTAGCACTGTTGACATTTTGGACCTGATAATCCCATGTCATGGAGCTGTCCTGTCGCTGTCAGATGACTAACACCATCTATGGCCTCTGGCTACTGGATGCCAGTAACACCTTCTTCCTCCAGTTATACTAACCAAAAATGTCTCCAGACATTGCCCAGGTTCCCTGGGGAGGCAGAGCCAGCCCCGGGTGAGAACCGTGGGGATGGCGGTATTAGACACCCTCTCTCCATGCTCTTTCTGCAAATGTAGAGCAGTGTGTCTGAGCTTTCCCACATGCCTGTCCACTCTAGAGACGCCCCCTCTCTTGGGCCAGTGCTTTGCAGTGTCAGACAGAGGAGCTTTCAGCTCACAGACTTACTGAGCCTGCAAGGGAGGAACATGAAAACATGACTTTCCAGATGTGGTCTTATTGTGTGGTGAGAAATGGTTTCCTCCAGGCTTCAAACTGAGCTGCATTTAAGTAGAGAAATAGGGCTCAAAGCCCCAAATAAACAATGTGTTGAATTCTTCTGTCATCTTGGATTATGTGTATTGTGTTTCTCTCCACCAGAGAATGCAGTGGCTGAGTTCACCGTGTCACACACTTCCAGTTTTAATGACAGCAAATTCTAAAATAAATTGCCTTATGAGGGATTTTTCTCACCCTGAAAGAATATTTCTTGTTCTAGTTTTAGACGTTTGAACCGGATGGGCAAAAACTATTCAGTATGTTCTGTTGCTATGCCTACATCTTGCAAATAATATAAATGTTATCTGACAATCTTGTGATCTATTAAGTTGACTGTAATACCAAAAGGAATTTGAGAAAAAAAAATAAAAGATTTTTGTGTCCCTTCCAGGAGGGAAAGATGAATTGGATCACAAAGTATAATTTCTGGGATATTTTAATGGTTTGGGCAGGATGATAGGATATCTGAGATGAGGGCTGTCCCAGAACATCGAAATAATTTGAATTCCAAGTTAGAGTGGAAAGAACAGGAAGAGATGAAATACCAAGTTCCCTGCAGCATGGCCACCCTGGGAAGTTCTACTCAGCATCCTATCTCCTATGGCTCTGGGAGAGCAGGTATCCAAGCAAGTCATGAATCTCAGGTGCTGGGTAACTGAGTGAATTTTATGTGCAACGTGATCCTAAACTCTAGGGGGAAAAAATTGAGTTCTGCTTCAGAAACAGTGGATTACAATCTGACCTCTAAGACCTTTCCTCATGCGAGGGGTATGGCACAGCAGAGATGGCAAATACCCATTGCTTGCTCCTTCGCTTTTTGGGTGGATTCATCCTGTGATCTGGTCAGTGCCTTGTGTGTGGTGCTGGTCTGCTGCCTTAGTGAGATGGCCTGCACTCAGGTCACCTCTGCCTAACCCTGCCTCCTCCCTCCAAATCCTTCCCAGTATCTGTTGCTCCTCTTGTCAACAGGTTGCTTCTTTGCCTCTGCGGCTTCCTCATTTGAGAGTGGACTCCGTGTGAACTTCTGTCCCGGCCCCTGGTCAAGCTGCACTTGACTTCTGCACTAAACTGGGCAGAAAGGATTTCCACGTGGGGCTTTCTTTCTTTCTTTCTTTCTTTCGAGAGAGAGAACTTTTTTTAATATTTGTTATTTTTTTTTCTTTTTAGTATTCGGTGGACACAACATCTTTTATTTTTATGTGGTGCTGAGGATCAAACCCAGCGCCTCACGCTTGCCAGGCGAGCTTGTTACCGCTTGAGCCACATCCCCAGCCCTCCACATGGGGCTTTCTAATGCGCCTGTGGGCGGTGCAGTCTTGAGGGCTGTCTGAGCACAGGTGTCAGTTTTCAAGTTGTACCTTGCAGGGTAAATGCTGTGGGTGACACTGTTTGAGGGAACATTGGTTTATGTAGTGGAAGGAGTTTTCTGCCAGGGATCAAGAAGTTAGAGCAAGGTGTTGAGTGGATGGTCTCTCAAGGAGTCCACACCTGGCCTCTTATGTGTCCCTCTCCCTTGCCTGTGCCTCTGTACACCTCTCTAATTTCACACTCTGCTTCCTGCATTTTCCATTGCCTCCCTGGCTTGTAGCACCGCCTCCTCCTCTTTGAGTTCTTAGTTCCTTTAGCCTGTTATCTTGGCTCTGACTGTCGTAGTCTTAACCTTTGTCCTCTTTGTGCCTTCCTGTGTGCTTTATGAATGCAGGGACCATGAGTTAAATGACTTAGACATTTCCTGAATGGCCAGCTGCAGCAGTCGGTTATTACGACTTCACTCTTAGCCATAAGGACAAAGATTCAACTTTGCAGAGCCAATCGCAGGACAGAACTCAAAAGGCCCTGAGGAACTATTTAGAGCCATGGTAGCATCCAGAAAGGGTCTGTTTTCTACTCCCAGCGTGTGTCTTTAAGTTAAGACATTTAACTTAAATGTCTTTAAGTTCTCTTCCAGTTCATCACTGGAAAATTGCTATCTAATGTCTCCTAAAATGCTCTGAATACTGTACAACCTCCTAGGAAATGATGGAGATGTCATAAGCCAAGGGCTTTGGTTCTAAGGTCATAGTCAAAGGGATCCCTTCCCACACCCCAGCAGTGAGAGTTCACCAGAAGGACCCTGGGGCTGCGTAATGGGTGGAGAGAGACTGCTAGAAGCAGCACAGCTCCAGTGTGCCTGAGACCCCCTGTGGCTTGGGGTGGGGAGGAGGGTGAAGGGAGCTGTGATGAGCAGGCAGAGATGAGGACTCCACATCAGCCTCAGGGGGCATCATGGGCATCCTGGAAAGGGCCACGACTTCGGGCTGGTGATCTTTTTGTTTTTGGAGGGGAATTCTGGGGATTGAATCCAGAGCTGCTTGACCACTGAGCCACATCCCCAGCCCTTTATCCTTTTTATTTTGAGACAGAGTCTCACTACATTGCTGAAGTTCTTGCTAAGTTGCTGAGGCCAATCTCGAATTTGAGATCCTCCTGCCATAGCCTCCGAGTCACTGGGATTATAGGCATGTGCTTGTGCCTGGCTGCTGATCCTTTTCAAAGCTTTGGCTTGGGGACTGTGAAGAAATCACAGGATTCCTCTAAGCAGTAGTGTTCCTTATTGACAAGAGGGTGTGGTGAAAAAACCTCTTCCAGTGTCTAAGATGTACTGAAGCCGTGACGATAAGTATGGAATTTGGATTGAAAGCTCAGCAGCACTGGGACATGCACACTCTTGTCTATAGGTCAGAGAGTGGCCATGGCAGGAGGAGAAAAGCCAGGGAGGAGGCAGAGGTGCTCTTGGGTTTGCCCACAGAAGTCGCAGGATCCCCTGGGAAGGGGCTCTCTGGTACTCTGGTTTGAGGGAGATTCTTATAGTAATTGCAGTTGCTTCATTGCTTCGAGGATGGACGCTCTTGTGAAGCCACATCACAGACAGTAGATGGGAACTGGGCACCTTGGCCTGGGGAGTGTGGTGTTATCTTTGCCAGGGGTGTGCCCATTTTATCGTGATGGATGGATCAAGACTATACGTGTCAATGAAAACTGACATTTTGTGAAGAAAAGGAAAATGAAGACCAAAATTGAATGGTTCACATTAGAATGAATAGTTTGAGCTGTGAGGCATCTTCAGTTTATCTCTGGAAGGCCTGAGAAGCTCCTGCTTGGCTCATCTTTTTGAGATGCCTTCGTCTGTTATTCAGAACCCCAGGACCCAATGCTCACTCGCATTTCTACACATTTATACTCATTAATGAAGCCAATGATGTGGATGATCCAGAAAGGATTTGTCCTGTTTTCAGAAGGTTCATACTTGCCCTTTGAGGCCATTAGCCTGGGAACCATTGTTTTGTGATAGGCCCTGTAACTTTTTTTAATAATATGAAGTGAATGATGACATCTTTTCCCTCCTTATTATCTGTATGTAAGCCGTCTTGAACAGGCTCAGTTGGCTCAGTTTGAGGAAGTGGGGAGCCTCTTATGTCATTATAGAAATTAAAAAGATAATAGGCTTCATTTTATATAATACACA